ACCCTTTGGACCCGCAGGTCCCCACTGCCGGGAGTGCTGCGGCTGGCCCTGCTGCTGTAGAACTCTAGTACACGCCATGTGAGCCTATGCTGCTGCTGGTTCTGCTGGGGGCAGCCTAAGCTGCTGCTGGTTCTGCTGGGGGCAGCCTAAGCTGCTGCTGGTGCACTGGGGGCAGCCTAAGCTGCTGATGGTGCGCTGGCGGTAGCCTAAGCTTCTGCTCGAGCGCTGGGGCAGCCTATGCTGCTTCTGGTTTTGCTGGGGGCAGCCTAAACAGCTGCTACTGGTGGGACAGCGGGTGCGGTTTGGTGCGGTTCTGTGCAATTCAGTGCGGTTTTGCGCGGTTTTGTGCGGTTCTGTGCAGTTCTGCGGGGTGGAGAGTACCGGGTGGGGCAGCTGATTCTGGGTGAGGTGACTGGAACAGGTGGGGTAGCAGCTCTGGCTGGAACGGGTGGGGCAGCGGGTGCGGTTCTGTGCAGTTCTGTGCAGTGCAGTGCGGTTCTGCGCGGTTTTGTGCGGTTCTGTGCGGTTCTGCGGGGTGGAGAGTACCGGGTGGGGCGGCTGATTCTGGGTGAGGTGACTGGAACGGGTGGGGCAGCGGGTGCGGTTCTGTGCGGTTCTGTGCAGTCCAGTGCGGTTCTGCGCGGTTCTGTGCGGTTCTGTGCGGTCTGCGGGGTGGAGGGTACCGGGTGGTGAGGCTGATTTCGGGTGAGGTGACTAGAACGGGTGGGGCAGCAGCTCTGGCTGGAACGGGTGGGGCAGCGGGTGCGGTTCTGTGCGGTTCTGTGCAGTTCAGTGCGGTTCTGCGTGGTTCTGCGCGGTTCTGTGCGGTTCTGCGGGGTGGAGAGTACCGGGTGGGGAGGCTGATTTCGGGTGAGGTGACTAGAACGGGTGGAGCAGCAGCTCTGGCTGGAACGGGTGGGGCAGCGGGTGCGGTTCTGTGCGGTTCTGTGCAGTTCAGTGCGGTTCTGCACGGTTCTGTGCGGTTCTGTGGGGTGGAGAGTACCGGGTGGGGAGGCTGATTTCGGGTGAGGTGACTAGAACGGGTGGGGCAGCAGCTCTGGCTGGAACGGGTGGGGCAGCGGGTGCGGTTCTGTGCGGTTCTGTGCAGTTCAGTGCGGTTCTACGCGGTTCTGTGCGGTTCTGTGCGGTTCTGCGGGGTGGAGAGGACTACGCTGCAGCTGCACCGGGCTACTACAGGCAGCTCCCGAACTACTCACGCTAGAACGACTGTCACTATGGTCACCCCGACAACCCCAAGTAGCGTACCACTCACGAAGCTGCTGGGGCGTGAGGGACTCACGCGGACGTCGCTGGAGCTGCATCTGGCCACCGCCAGGGGCAGCAGAAGTAGTGGTAGCCGCAGTGGCAGCAGTAGCAGCAGTAGCAGTGCGGCCACCCCTACAACCCCAACTAGCGTACCACTCACGAAGCTGATGGGGGGCGAGGGACTCACGCGGACGGCGCTGGAGCTGCATCTGGCAACGCCAGGAGCAGCAGTAGCAGTAGAAAGAGCAGTAGTAGCAAGAGCAGCAGTAACAGCAGTGCTCACCAGTGGCAAGAAGGGCAGGAGTACGACAGCGGCAAAGGTGAGGCCGCTACCACCGCAGGGCGAGGGCTCCCCGGCTGCTGCAGGGACTGCTGCTCGAGAGGCCAGGGGCAGCTGCAGCAGCGGCGGCTGCTCCAGGGGCCAGGGTGCCGCGGCGGGCAGGGGCGGCGGCGGCTGACACGGCAGCGGCTGCTGGTGTCGGCGGCGGCGGCGGCTGCTGCTGTCGGCGGCGGGGGCTGCTGCTGTCGGCGGCGGCGGCTGCTGCGGCCGGGGCAGGGGCGGCGGCGGCGGACACGGCTGTGGCGGCGGCTGCTGCTGTCGTCGGCGGCGGCGGCGGTGGCTGCTGTCGGCGGCGGTGGCGGCTGCTGCCGTCGGCGGCAGCGGCGGCAGCTGCTGTCGGCAGCGGCGGCGGCTGCTGTCGGTGGTGGCGGCTGCTGCAGCCGGGGCAGGGGCGGCGGCGGATGGGAAGGGGCCGCGACGGGCCACGAAGGGGCCGCAAGGGGCCGCGAGGGAGTCGCGACAGGGCCGCGAGGTGCCGTGAGAGGGGCCGCGAGGGGCCGCGAGGGGTCGCGAAGGGCCGCGGAGGGGCCGCGAGGGGCCGTGAGAGGGGCCGCGAGGGGCCGTGAGAGGGGTCGCGACGGGCCACGAGGGGCCGTGAGAGGGGCCGCGAGGGGCCGCGAGGGGCCGCGAAGGGCCGCGGAGGGGCCGCGAGGGGCCGTGAGAGGGGCCGCGAGGGGCCGTGAGAGGGGCCGCGAGGGAGCGGCTAAGGGGCCGCGAGGGGCCGTGAGAGGGGCCGGGCCGCGAGGGAGCGGCTAAGGAGCTGCGAGGGGCCGAAAGAGGGCGTGATGGGCCGCTAAGGGCAGGGGACGCGACGGGAGGGCAGGCACACGGGGCGCGACTCGGGCAGGGGCGAAGCGCGCTCCGGGCAGGAAAAAAAAAATTCGATTTTCGGTGGGCCCTAGGAAACGTTCCCACTAGGGAACCTGCTCTATACCATGTGAAAGAATGAGGAATGAGTGCACTAGGAAACAGGTGGGTACAAGTAGGAAAACCTAAAAGTGTTGTACCCCATATTGTGTACCCCACTACAGCCTACACAGACTAGAGCATATAAGTTTGACACTGCGCGACTGCGCGGAGCGCGAGTGCTCGAGTGCGCGAGTGCGCGACAGCGCGAGTGCGCGACAGCGCAAGTGCGCGACATCGCGAGTGCGCGACAGCGCGAGTGCGCGACAGCGCGAGTGCGAGACAGCGCGAGTGCGCGACAGCGCGAGCACGAGACAGCGCGAGTGCGCGACAGCGCGAGTGCGCGACAGCGCGAGTGCGCGACAACGCGAGTGCGCGACATGTGAAGAAACTGAGTGGAATGATTTGTTAGAATTTATATGTAACTGCCTGTAGCTGTAGTTTAGTGTAGTTATTATAAACTGTTGGTGGTGCACCTTCTTTGCATGCTCTGTTTACTATATGTACCCTAGTGCTATAGTGAACATCACCTTTTCCCATTCTCGACTCTCACCTTGGCACAACCTCCTCGACTTCCCCTAGGCCTAGGCTACTAAGCCTAGGCCCTACCTAAAACCTAAGCTTACTCTTACTTAGTAACTCAACATGATTGACTAGGAAATGAGTTGGGTACAAGTATGAAACCCTGGGAAACTGTACCCTTAATGTCTACCCCACCACAGCCTAAATAGGCTATATGATAAATGTTTGACACACCCCCATAGGCAAAGTGGGGGAGAACAAGGGGTCACAAGACCAGTCAAGCAAAGCAAAGCAAAGCAAGCTCAGGGTGGATCCCAACGTCACCACACATTCCGAGCACAAGTTCAAAGGCCACAAGGCCAGGTTATATGCAGGATTATATATAAAGGTGAACAAGCAAGACAGTGATCGCAACCTAGCAAGGGTAAACATGCAGGTGCAGGTATATATAGATCACAGTACGCACCATGCCGACGCACCATGCCGACGCACCATGCCGACGCACCGTGCCGACGCACGGTGATGGACATCGGTTTAGGGTTTAGGGCGCGCATCGGCATGGTGCTGAAGCACCCATCAGTGCATTGGCGTGCATCGGCATGGTGCCGATGCACCAATGGATACATCGGCGCAAATCGGCATGAAGCTGATGCACCAATGGGTGCATCGACGTGCGTTGGCATGGTGCCGATGCACCCCTAGATGCATCGGCGGACATGGGCAAGGTGCCGATGCACCAAGGCATGCATCGGCGCATAACGACATGGTGCCAATGCACCAATGGATGCATCCGCGGATATGGGCAAGGTGCCGATGCACCAAGGCATGCATCGGCGCACAACGGCATGGTGCCAATGCACCAATGGATGCATCGACGCACGTCGGCATGATGTCGATGCACCATACGATGCATCAGCACATATCGGCATAGTGCTGATGCACCAAGGCATGCATCGGCGTGCGTCGGCATGGCATGCATCGGCGTGCGTCGGCATGGTACTGATGCACCAATTGATTTATCGGCGCGCATCGGCATGGTGCTGAAGCACCCATGGGTGCATCGTCATGCGTCGGCATTATGCTGATGTACCAACGGATACATCGGCGAGGATCGGCATGAAGTTGATGCACCAATGGGTGCATCGGCGTGCGTCGACATGGTGCGGATGCACTAATGAATCCATCGGCCCACAACAACATGGTTCCGATGCACCAATAGATGCATCGGCGCACGTCGGCACGATGCCGATGCACCAAAGGATGCATCGGGGCGCATCAGCATGGTACTGATGCAGCAAGGCATGCACCGGCACGTGTCGGCATGGTACTGTTGCACCAATGGATCCATCGGCGCGCATCGGTATGGTGCGGATGCACCAATGTGTGCATCGTCATGCGTCGGCATTGTGCCAGAGCACCAATGGATCTATCGGCGCGCATCGGCATGGTGCTGAAGCAACCATGGGTGCATTGGCGTGCATCGGCATGGTGCCGATGCACCAATGGATACATCGGTGCAACTCGGCATGAAGGTGATGCACCAATGGGTGCATCGACGTGCGTTGGCATGGTGCCGATGCACCCCTAGATGCATCGGCGGACATGGGCAAGGTGCCGATGCACCAAGGCATGCATCGGCGCACAACGGCATGGTGCCAATGCACCAATGGATGCATCTGCGCATGTCGGCACGCTAGAGGATGCATCGGCACACATCGGCATGGTACTGATGCACCAAGGCATGCATCGGCGTGCGTCGGCATGGCATGCATCGGCGTGCGTCGGCATGGTACTGATGCACCAGATCCATCGGCGCGCATCGGCATGAAGCCGATGCATTAATGGATACATCGGCACGGATCGGCATGAAGTTGATGCACCAATGGGTGCATCGGCGTGCATCGGCGTGCGTCGGCATGGTGCTGATGCACCAATGGATGCATCGGCGCACGTTGGCACGATGCCGATGCTCCAAAGGATGCATCGGCGCACATCAGCACCCGCTTTCCATCACTCCGCCCTATTCTCCCGCTTTCCATCTCCCCGCCCCATTCTCCCGCTTTCCATCACCCCGCCCCATTCTCCCTCCTTCCATCACCCCGCCCCATTCTCCACCTTTCCATCACCCCGCCCCATTCTCCCTCCTTCAATCACCCCGCCCCATTCTCCCTCCTTCCATCACCCCGCCCCATTCTCCCTCCTTCCATCACCCCGTCCCCTTCTCCCTCCTTCCATCACCCCGCCCCGTTCTCCCGCTTTCCATCACCCCGCCCCATTCTCCCGCTATCCATCACCCCGCCCCATTCTCCCGCTTTCCATCACCCCGCACCATTCTCCCGCTTTCCATCACCCCGCCCCATTCTCCCGCATTCCATCACCCCGCCCCATTCTTCCGCTTTCCATCACCCCGCCCCATTCTCCCGTTTTCCATCACCCCGCCCCATTCTCCCGCTTTCCATCACCCCCCCCCATTCTCCCGCCTTCCATCACCCCGCCCCATTCTCCCTCCTTCCATCACCCCGCCCCATTCTCCCGCTTTCCATCACCCCGCTCCATTCTCCCGCTTTCCATCACCCCGCCCCATTTTCCCGCTTTCCATCACCCTGCCCCATTCTCCTGCTTTCCATCACCCCGCCCCATTCTTCCTCCTTCCATCACCCCGCCCCATTCTCCCTCCTTCCATCACCCCACCCCATTCTCCCTCCTTCCATCACCCCGCCCCATTCTCTCGCTTTCCATCACCCCGCCCCATGCTCCTACTTTCCATCACCCCGCCCCATTCTCCCGCTTTCCATCACCCCGCCCCATTCTCCCGCTTTCCATCACCCCGCCCCTTTCTCCCTCCTTCCATCACCCTGCCCCATTCTCCTGCTTTCCATCACCCTGCCCCATTCTCCCGCTTTCCATCACCCCGCCCCATTCTCCCGCTTTCCATCACACCGCCCCATTCTCCCGCTTTCCATCACCCCGCCCCATTCTCCCTCCTTCCATCACCCCGCCCCATTCTCCCTCCTTCCATCACCCCGCCCCATTCTCCCTCCTTCCATCACCCCGCCCCATTCTTCCGCTTTCCATCACCCCGCCCCATTCTCCCGCTTTCCATCACCTCGCCCCATTCTCCCGCATTCCATCACCCCGCCCCATTCTCCCGCTTTTCATCACCCTGCACCATTCTCCCGCTTTTCATCACCCCGCCCCATTCTCCCGCATTCCATCACCCCGCCTCATTCTCCCGCTTACCATCACCCCGCCCCATTCTCTCGCTTTCCATCACCCCGCCCCAGTCTCCCGCTTTTCATCACCCCGCCCCATTCTCTCGCCTTCCATCACCCTGCCCCATTCTCCCTCCTTCCATCACCCCGCCCCATTCTCCCGCTTTCCATCACCCCGCCCCATTCTCCCGCTTTCCATCACCCCGCCCCATTCTCCCGCTTTCCATCACCCCGCCCCGTTCTCCCGTTTTCCATCACTCAGCCCCATTCTCCCGCTTTCCATCACCCCGCCCCATTCTCCCTCCTTCCATCACCCTGCCCCATTCTCCAGCTTTCCATCACCCCGCCCCATTTTCCCTCCTTCCATCACCCCACCCCATTCTCCCTCCTTCCATCACCCCGCCCCATTCTCCCGCTTTCCATCACCCCGCCCCATTCTCCCGCTATCCATCACCCAGCCCCATTCTCCCGCTTTCCATCACCCCGCACCATTCTCCCGCTTTCCATCACCCCGCCCCATTCTCCTGCATTCCATCACCCCGCCCCATTCTTCCGCTTTCCATCACCCCGCCCCATTCTTCCGCTTTCCATCACCCCGCCCCAATCTCCCGCTTTCCATCACCCCGCCCCATTCTCCCGCTTTCCATCACCCCGCCCCATTCTCCCGCCTTCCATCACCCCGCCCCATTCTCCCTCCTTCCATCACCCCGCCCCATTCTCCCTCTTTCCATCACCCCGCTCCATTCTCCCGCTTTCCATCACCCCGCCCAATTCTCCCACTTTCCATCACCCCGCCCCATTCTCCCGCTTTCCATCACCCCGCCCAATTCTCCCGCTTTCCATCACCCCGCCCCATTCTCCCTCTTTCCATCACCCCGCCCCATTCTCCCTCCTTCCATCACCCCGCCCCATTCTCCCGCAATCCATCACCCCACCCCATTCTCCCTCCTTCCATCACCCCGCCCCATTCTCCCGCTTTCCATCACCCCGCCCCATTCTCCTGCTTCCATCACCCCGCCCCATTCTCCCGCTTTCCATCACCCCGCCCCATTCTCCCTCCTTCCATCAACCCGCCCCATTCTCCCGCTTTCCATCACCCCGCTCCATTCTCCCGCTTTCCATCACCCCGCCCCATTCTCCCGCTTTCCTTCATCCCGCCCCATTCTCCCGCTTTCCATCACCCCGCCCCATTCTCCCGCTTTCCATCACCCCGCCCCATTCTCCCGCTTTCCATCACCCCGCCCCATTCTCCCTCCTTCCATCACCCTGCCCCATTCTCCCTCCTTTCATCACCCCGCCCCATTCTCCCACTTTCCATCACCCCGCCCCATTCTCCCGCTTTCCATCACCTCGCCCCATTCTCCCGCATTCCATCACCCCGCCCCATTCTCCCGCTTTTCATCACCTTGCACCATTCTCCCGCTTTCCATCACCCCGCCCCATTCTCCCGCATTCCATCACCCCGCCTCATTCTCCCGCTTTCCATCACCCCGCCCCATTCTCTCGCTTTCCATCACCCCGCCCCATTCTCCCGCCTTCCATCACCCTGCCCCATTCTCCCTCCTTCCATCACCCCGCCCCATTCTCCCGCTTTCCATCACCCCGCCCCATTCTCCCGCTTTCCATCACCCCGCCCCATTCTCCCGCTTTCCATCACCCCGCCCCATTCTCCCGCTTTCCATCACCCCGCCCCATTCTCCCTCCTTCCATCACCCTGCCCCATTCTCCAGCTTTCCATCACCCCGCCCCATTTTCCCTCCTTCCATCACCCAGCCCCGTTCTCCCTCCTTCTATCACCCCGCCCCATTATCCCGCTTTCCATCACCCCGCACCATTCTCCCGCCTTCCATCACCCCGCCCCATTCTCCCTCCTTCCATCACCCCGCCCCATTCTCCCGCTTTCCATCACCCCGCTCCATTCTCCAGCTTTCCATCACCCCGCCCAATTCTCCCACTTTCCATCACCCCGCCCCATTCTCCCGCTTTCCATCACCCCGCCCAATTCTCCCGCTTTCCATCACCCCGCCCCATTCTCCCTCTTTCCATCACCCCGCCCCATTCTCCCTCCTTCCATCACCCCGCCCCATTCTCCCGCAATCCATCACCCCACCCCATTCTCCCTCCTTCCATCACCCCGCCCCATTCTCCCGCTTTCCATCACCCCGCCCCATTCTCCTGCTTCCATCACCCCGCCCCATTCTCCCGCTTTCCATCACCCCGCCCCATTCTCCCTCCTTCCATCAACCCGCCCCATTCTCCCGCTTTCCATCACCCCGCCCCATTCTCCCGCTTTCGATCACCCCGCCCCGTTCGCCCGCTTTCCATCACCCCGCCCCATTCTCCCGCTTTCCATCACCCCGCCCCAATCTCCCGCCTTCCATCACCCCGCCCCATTCTCCCTCCTTCCATCATCCCGCCCCATTCTCCCTCCTTCCATCACCCCGCCCCATTCTCCCTCCTTCCATCACCCCGCCCCATTCTTCCGCTATCCATCACCCCGCCCCATTCTCCCTCCTTCCATCACCCTGACCCATTCTCCCGCCTTCCATCACCCCGCCCCATTCTCCCGCATTCCATCACCCCGCCCCATTCTCCCGCTTTCCATCACCCCGCCCCGTTCTCCCGCCTTCCATCACCCCGCCCCATTCTCCCGCTTTCCATCACCTCGCCCCATTCTCCCGCTTTCCATCACCCCGCCCCATTCTCCCTCTTTCCATTACCCCGCCCCATTCTCCCGCTTTCCATCAACCCCCCCCCCATTCTCCCTCCTTCCATCACCCCGCCCCATTCTCCCGCTTTCCATTACCCCGCCCCATTCTCCCGCTTTCCATCAACCCCCCCCCATTCTCCCTCCTTCCATCACCCCGCCCCATTCTCCCGCAATCCATCACCCCACCCCATTCTCCCTCCTTCCATCACCCCCCCCCATTCTCCCGCTTTCCATCACCCCGCCCCATTCTCCTGCTTTCCATCACCCCGCCCCGTTCTCCCGCTTTCCATCACCCCGCCCCTTTCTCCCGCTATCCATCACCCCGCCCCATTCTCCCGCTTTCCATCACCCCGCCCCAATCTCCCGCCTTCCATCACCCCGCCCCATTCTCCCGCTTTCTATCACCTCGCCCCGTTCGCCCGCTTTCCATCACCCCGCCCCATTCTCCCGCTTTCCATCACCCCGCCCCATTCTCCCTCCTTCCATCACCCCGCCCCATTCTCCCTCCTTCCATCACCCTGCCCCATTCTCCCTCCTTCCATCACCCCGCCCCATTCTTCCGCTTTCCGTCACCCCGCCCCATTCTCCCTCCTTCCATCACCCTGCCCCATTCTCCCGCCTTCCATCACCCCGCCCCATTCTCCCGCGTTCCATCACCCCGCCCCATTCTCCCGCCTTCCATCACCCCGCCCCGTTCTCCCGCCTTCCATCACCCCGCCCCATTTTCCCGCTTTCCATCACCTCGCCCCATTCTCCCGCTTTCCATCACCCCGCCCCATTCTCCCGCTTTCCTTTACCCCGCCCCATTCTCCCGCTTTCCATCAACCCCCCCCATTCTCCCTCCTTCCATCACCCCGCCCCATTCTCCCTCCTTCCATCACCCCGCCATTCTCCCGCTTTCCATCACCCCGCCCCATTCTCCCGCAATCCATCACCCCGCCCCATTCTCCGGCCTTCCATCACCACGCCCCATTCTCCCGCTTTCCATCACCCCGCCCCATTCTCCCGCTTTCCATCACCCCGCCCCATTCTCCCTCCTTCCATCACCCCACCCCATTCTCCCGCTTTCCATCACCCCGCCCCATTCTCCCGCTTTCCATCACCCCGCCCCATTCTCCCGCCTTCCATCACCCCGCCCCATTCTCCCTCCTTCCATCACCCCGCCCCATTCTCCCGCTTTCCATCACCCCGCTCCATTCTCCCGCTTTCCATCACCCCGCCCCATTCTCCCGCTTTCCTTCATCCCGCCCCATTCTCCCGCTTTCCATCACCCCGCCCCATTCTCCCGCTTTCCATCACCCCGCCCCATTCTCTCGCTTTCCATCACCCCGCCCCATTCTCCCTCCTTCCATCACCCCACCCCATTCTCCCTCCTTTCATCACCCCGCCCCATTCTCCCGCTTTCCATCACCCCGCCCCATTCTCTCGCTTTCCATCACCCCGCCCCATTCTCCCTCCTTCCATCACCCCACCCCATTCTCCCTCCTTTCATCACCCCGCCCCATTCTCCCACTTTCCATCACCTCGCCCCATTCTCCCGCATTCCATCACCCCGCCCCATTCTCCCGCTTTTCATCACCTTGCACCATTCTCCCGCTTTCCATCACCCCGCCCCATTCTCCCGCATTCCATCACCCCGCCTCATTCTCCCGCTTTCCATCACCCCGCCCCATTCTCTCGCTTTCCATCACCCCGCCCCATTCTCCCGCCTTCCATCACCCTGCCCCATTCTCCCTCCTTCCATCACCCCGCCCCATTCTCCCGCTTTCCATCACCCCGCCCCATTCTCCCGCTTTCCATCACCCCGCCCCATTCTCCCGCTTTCCATCACCCCGCCCCATTCTCCCGCTTTCCATCACCCCGCCCCATTCTCCCTCCTTCCATCACCCTGCCCCATTCTCCAGCTTTCCATCACCCCGCCCCATTTTCCCTCCTTCCATCACCCAGCCCCGTTCTCCCTCCTTCCATCACCCCGCCCCATTATCCCGCTTTCCATCACCCCGCACCATTCTCCCGCCTTCCATCACCCCGCCCCATTCTCCCTCCTTCCATCACCCCGCCCCATTCTCCCGCTTTCCATCACCCCGCTCCATTCTCCCGCTTTCCATCACCCCACCCCATTCTCCCACTTTCCATCACCCCGCCCCATTCTCCCGCTTTCCATCACCCCGCCCAATTCTCCCGCTTTCCATCACCCCGCCCCATTCTCCCTCTTTCCATCACCCCACCCCATTCTCCCTCCTTCCATCACCCCGCCCCATTCTCCCGCTTTCCATCACCCCGCCCCATTCTCCCTCCTTCCATCACCCCGCCCCATTCTCCCGCTTTCCATCACCCCGCCCCATTCTCCTGCTTCCATCACCCCGCCCCATTCTCCCGCTTTCCATCACCCCGCCCCATTCTCCCGCTATCCATCACCCCGCCCCATTCTCCTGCTTTCCATCACCCCGCCCCATTCTCCCTCCTTCCATCAACCCGCCCCATTCTCCCGCTTTCCATCACCCCGCCCCATTCTCCCGCTTTCTATCACCCCGCCCCGTTCGCCCGCTTTCCATCACCCCGCCCCATTCTCCCGCTTTCCATCACCCCGCCCCAATCTCCCGCCTTCCATCACCCCGCCCCATTCTCCCTCCTTCCATCATCCCGCCCCATTCTCCCTCCTTCCATCACCCCGCCCCATTCTCCCTCCTTCCATCACCCCGCCCCATTCTTCCGCTATCCATCACCCCGCCCCATTCTCCCTCCTTCCATCACCCTGACCCATTCTCCCGCCTTCCATCACCCCGCCCCATTCTCCCGCATTCCATCACCCCGCCCCGTTCTCCCGCTTTCCATCACCCCGCCCCGTTCTCCCGCTTTCCATCACCCCGCCCCATTCTCCCGCCTTCCATCACCCCGCCCCATTCTCCCGCTTTCCATCACCTCGCCCCATTCTCCCGCTTTCCATCACCCCGCCCCATTCTCCCGCTTTCCATCAACCCCCCCCCCATTCTCCCTCCTTCCATCACCCCGCCCCATTCTCCCGCTTTCCATTACCCCGCCCCATTCTCCCGCTTTCCATCAACCCCCCCCCATTCTCCCTCCTTCCATCACCCCGCCCCATTCTCCCGCAATCCATCACCCCACCCCATTCTCCCTCCTTCCATCACCCCCCCCCATTCTCCCGCTTTCCATCACCCCGCCCCATTCTCCTGCTTTCCATCACCCCGCCCCGTTCTCCCGCTTTCCATCACCCCGCCCCATTCTCCCGCTATCCATCACCCCGCCCCATTCTCCCGCTTTCCATCACCCCGCCCCAATCTCCCGCCTTCCATCACCCCGCCCCATTCTCCCGCTTTCTATCACCTCGCCCCGTTCGCCCGCTTTCCATCACCCCGCCCCATTCTCCCGCTTTCCATCACCCCGCCCCATTCTCCCTCCTTCCATCACCCCGCCCCATTCTCCCTCCTTCCATCACCCTGCCCCATTCTCCCTCCTTCCATCACCCCGCCCCATTCTTCCGCTTTCCGTCACCCCGCCCCATTCTCCCTCCTTCCATCACCCTGCCCCATTCTCCCGCCTTCCATCACCCCGCCCCATTCTCCCGCGTTCCATCACCCCGCCCCATTCTCCCGCCTTCCATCACCCCGCCCCGTTCTCCCGCCTTCCATCACCCCGCCCCATTTTCCCGCTTTCCATCACCTCGCCCCATTCTCCCGCTTTCCATCACCCCGCCCCATTCTCCCGCTTTCCTTTACCCCGCCCCATTCTCCCGCTTTCCATCAACCCCCCCCATTCTCCCTCCTTCCATCACCCCGCCCCATTCTCCCTCCTTCCATCACCCCGCCATTCTCCCGCTTTCCATCACCCCGCCCCATTCTCCCGCAATCCATCACTCCGCCCCATTCTCCGGCCTTCCATCACCCCGGCACATTCTCCCGCTTTCCATCACCCCGCCCCATTCTCCCGCTTTCCATCACCCCGCCCCATTCTCCCTCCTTCCATCACCCCACCCCATTCTCCCGCTTTCCATCACCCCGCCCCATTCTCCCGCCTTCCATCACCCCGCTCCATTCTCCTGCCTTCCATCACCCTGCCCCATTCTCCCTCCTTCCATCACCCCGCCCCATTCTTCCGCTTTCCGTCACCCCCCCCCATTCTCCCTCCTTCCATCACCCTGCCCCATTCTCCCGCCTTCCATCACCCCGCCCCATTCTCCCGCGTTCCATCACCCCGCCCCATTCTCCCGCCTTCCATCACCCCGCCCCGTTCTCCCGCCTTCCATCACCCCGCCCCATTTTCCCGCTTTCCATCACCTCGCCCCATTCTCCCGCTTTCCATCACCCCGCCCCATTCTCCCGCTTTCCTTTACCCCGCCCCATTCTCCCGCTTTCCATCAACCCCCCCCATTCTCCCTCCTTCCATCACCCCACCCCATTCTCCCGCTTTCCATCACCCCGCCCCATTCTCCCGCCTTCCTTCACCCCGCTCCATTCTCCTGCCTTCCATCACCCTGCTCCATTCTCCCTCCTTCCATCACCCCGCCCCATTCTTCCGCTTTCCGTCACCCCGCCCCATTCTCCCTCCTTCCATCACCCTGCCCCATTCTCCCGCCTTCCATCACCCCGCCCCATTCTCCCGCGTTCCATCACCCCGCCCCATTCTCCCGCCTTCCATCACCCCGCCCCGTTCTCCCGCCTTCCATCACCCTGCCCCATTTTCCCGCTTTCCATCACCTCGCCCCATTCTCCCGCTTTCCATCACCCCGCCCCATTCTCCCGCTTTCCTTTACCCCGCCCCATTCTCCCGCTTTCCATCAACCCCCCCCATTCTCCCTCCTTCCATCACCCCGCCCCATTCTCCCGCTTTCCATCACCCCGCTCCATTCTCCCGCTTTCCATCACCCCGCCCCATTCTCCCGCTTTCCTTCATCCCGCCCCATTCTCCCGCTTTCCATCACCCCGCCCCATTCTCCCGCGTTCCATCACCCCGCCCCATTCTCCCGCCTTCCATCACCCCGCCCCGTTCTCCCGCGTTCCATCACCCCGCCCCATTCTCCCGCCTTCCATCACCCCGCCCCGTTCTCCCGCCTTCCATCACCCCGCCCCATTTTCCCGCTTTCCATCACCTCGCCCCATTCTCCCGCTTTCCATCACCCCGCCCCATTCTCCCGCTTTCCTTTGCCCCGCCCCATTCTCCCGCTTTCCATCAACCCCCCCCATTCTCCCTCCTTCCATCACCCCGCCCCATTCTCCCTCCTTCCATCACCCCGCCATTCTCCCGCTTTCCATCACCCCGCCCCATTCTCCCGCAATCCATCACCCCGCCCCATTCTCCGGCCTTCCATCACCCCGCCCCATTCTCCCGCTTTCCATCACCCCGCCCCATTCTCCCGCTTTCCATCACCCCGCCCCATTCTCCCGCTTTCCATCACCCCGTCCCATTCTCCCGCTTTCCATCACCCCGCCCCATTCTCCCGCCTTCCATCACCCCGCCCCATTCTCCCTCCTTCCATCACCCCGCCCCATTCTCCCGCTTTCCATCACCCCGCCCCATTCTCCGGCCTTCCATCACCCCGCCCCATTCTCCCGCTTTCCATCACCCCGCCCCATTCTCCCGCTTTCCATCACCCCGCCCCATTCTCCCGCTTTCCATCACCCCGCCCCATTCTCCCTCCTTCCATCACCCCGCCCCATTCTCCCGCCTTCCTTCACCCCGCCCCATTCTCCCGCCTTCCATCACCCCGCCCCATTCTCCCGCTTTCCATCACCCCGCCCCTTTCTACCTCCTTCCATCACCCCGCCCCATTCTCTCTCCTTCCATCACCCCGCCCCATTCTCCCTCCTTCCATCACCCCGCCCCATTCTCTCTCCTTCCATCACCCCGCCCCATTCTCCCGCTTTCCATCACCCCGCCCCATTCTCCCGCTTTCCATCACCCCGCCCCATTCTCCCGCTTTCCATCACCCCGCCCCATTCTCCCGATTTCCATCACCCGCCCCATTCTCCCGCTTTCCATCACCCCGCCCCATTCTCCCGCTTTCCATCACCCCGCCCCATTCTCCCGATTTCCATCACCCGCACCATTCTCCCGCTTTCCATCACCCCGCCCCATTCTCCCGCTTTCCATCAACCCCCCCCATTCTCCCTCCTTCCATCACCCCGCCCCATTCTCCCTCCTTCCATCACCCCGCCATTCTCCCGCTTTCCATCACCCCGCCCCATTCTCCCGCAATCCATCACCCCGCCCCATTCTCCGGCCTTCCATCACCCCGGCCCATTCTCCCGCTTTCCATCACCCCGCCCCATTCTCCCGCTTTCCATCACCCCGCCCCATTCTCCCTCCTTCCATCACCCCACCCCATTCTCCCGCTTTCCATCACCCCGCCCCATTCTCCCGCCTTCCATCACCCCGCTCCATTCTCCTGCCTTCCATCACCCCGCCCCATTCTCCCGCTTTCCATCACCCCGCCCCATTCTCCCGCCTTCCATCACCCCGCCCCATTCTCCCTCCTTCCATCACCCCGCCCCATTCTCCCTCCTTCCATCACCTTGCCCCATTCTCCCGCTTTCCCCGCCCCATTCTCCCTCCTTCCATCACCCCGCCCCATTCTCCCTCCTTCCATCACCTTGCCCCATTCTCCCGCTTTCCATCACCCCGCCCCATTCTCCCACTTTCCATCACCCCGCCCCATTCTCCCACTTTCCATCACCCCGCCCCATTCTCCCGCTTTCCATCACCCCGCCCCATTCTCCCGCCTTCCATCACCCCGCCCCATTCTCCCGCTTTCCATCATCCCGCCCCATTCTCCCGCTTTCCATCACCCCGCCCCGTTCTCCCGCCTTCCATCACCCCGCCCCGTTCTCCCGCCTTCCATCACCCCGCCCCATTCTCCCGTTTTCCATCACCTCGCCCCATTCTCCCGCTTTCCATCACCCCGCCCCATTCTCCCGCTTTCCATTACCCCGCCCCATTCTCCCGTTTTCCATCAACCCCCCCCCATTCTCCCTCCTTCCATCACCCCGCCCCATTCTCCCTCCTTCCATCACCCCGCCCCATTCTCTCCCGCTTTCCATCACCCCCCCCCATTCTCCCGCTTTCCATCACCCCGCCCCGCTCTCCCGCCTTCGATCACCCCGCCCCCTTCTCCCACTTTCCATCACCCCGCCCCATTCTCCCGCTTTCCATCACCCCGCCCCGTTCTCCCGCCTTCGATCACCCCGCCCCATTCTACCGGGTGGGGAGGCTGATTTCGGGTGAGGTGACTAGAACGGGTGGGGCAGCAGCTCTGGCTGGAACGGGTGGGGCAGCGGGTGCGGTTCTGTGCGGTTCTGTGCAGTTCAGTCCGATTTCTGGTGTGGCGGCGGATTTCTTCTCGTGGGGCGGCAGATCGCGGGCGAGGCGACGGCTAACAGACCGGGCGGCGGGTAAGGCAGCGGGTGGGGCCGCGTCTATCGGGTGGGGCGGCGGTTATGACGGTGGGAAACAGGTGGGGCGACGGGTCGCTCGTGCGCGCGGCTGCTGCTGTGCGTGCGTGCGACTAACTACGGGGCCGCGGGGCCCGCTAGCGAAGGAGCCTCGGGGCCCACGAATGAAGGGCCGCGGGGCCCGCTAACGAAGGGCCGCGGGGCCCGCTAACGAAGGGTTGCAGGGCCCGCTAACGAAGGGCCGTGGGGCGCGCTAACGAACAGCCGCGACGGGTGACGGGCGACGGGAAAAAAAAGAGGAAACGGTCGCGATCGACGGGGGGAAACGGGCGATGGGCGACTGGCGACGGGGGGGGGGGGGGGGGGTCTACAGGCGATGGGGCTAAGGTAAGCGCGCTACGGGTGGTCTAGGACGGGGCGCGACTAGGCGTGCCTAAGGGGAAAATCTCGCTAGGGTTAACCTAGCTCTATACCATGTCACAATGTAAAATTGACTAAAACAGAAAGTACAAACAAGATATATGCAAAACCTAGCCCTAGTGCAAGTAGAAAACAACATAAGGGAGAACACCTAGACTAGAACTACACAAACTATAGAATTATAGCTTGACAGGAGGCAGCGACAGCGGTGGTGGAGGCAGCGGTAGCGGCGGTGGAGGCGGCGGTGGAGGTGGCGGCGGCGGTGGTGCTGGTCGGGGTGGAGCTGCACAGCGTGGAGGCTTTGGCGGTAGCCAGCGCCAGCAGCAGCCGCGTTCCCGAAAGACCCCGTTGCCCCAGCAGCTTCGTGAGTGGTACACTGGGCGTGGGAGGTCTGGGGGTGCTGGTCCCTGCACTTACGTTCTGCGCACCACCGGGCGCCGTGGGGAGACGTGCGGCCTGCCACACTCATCGCAGCGCTGTTTCGGTCGCCTGTCTGACGCCTAGCGTGCACAGTTTTCTGACGCCACCGAGCTCCCTAGCTGGGCTGATCTGCTTAGGCAGAATGTTGATATCTTTGTTCTTGACTATGATGCTATCCTTGCTGCCATGTATGCTGTGACTATTAGTGCTGAGGGTGACTGTTACCTGTGTGTGCCGCCTGACCCAGGTATAGAGTCTGCTGCTCTAGGTGCTGGTGAGGCTGCTGCTCTAGGTGCTAGTGATTCTACTGCTCCAGGTGCTGGTGAGTCTGCTCTCTCTGGTACTACGCCTTCTGAGGCCTTGCACACCTTCACACTTGACTCAGGTGCTTCCCGCTCCTTCTTTCGCGACAGCACCACACTCACGCCGCTCAGTCGACCGGTTGCAGTCTCCCTGGCAGACCCCTCTTGGGGCCCAGTCCTTGCGCACTCCTCCACGGTCCTGCCGTGTCCGGCAGTCCCGTCTGGCTCACTGTCAGGACTTCACCTCCCCTCGTTCTCTACGAGCTTGGTGAGTGGAGCTGACCTCCAGGATGCGTGGGTTGACCAGTTCACTCCTGGAGGTCAGCGAGTGACCCGCTGTACGTGCTCCCGGACGGGCCGGCACCTGGCCACGTTTTCCCGTGCGCCTAGCTCGAGTCTGTACACACTGACTACTGTGCCCCCTCAGGTAGCTGCGTCTGCGTCTGCGTCAGGTCAGCTAGCGCCCCCCTGCTCGTGTCGCGCTTTGTAGCACCAGACCGTCCTTTGGCACCACCGTCTTGGTCACCCCTCAGTGCAGCGCCTTCGTGGCATGCACCGCCGTGTCCTTGTCTCTAGTCTTCCCAGGGCTCTCCCTCCCCTCCCACCCTCGCCTGCTCCTCCCTGTCTTCCCTGTATCGAGGAGCGGAACCGCGCCGCTCCTCACTCCTCCTCGTTTCCCCCGACGACTGCTCCCCTGCAGACCCTCCACATGGACGTGTGGAGCCTAGCCCGCGTTCGTGGACAGGACCGCGAGCGGTACTTTGTGCTGGTCATTGACGACTACACGCGTTACACCACGGTCTTCCCCTTGTGCACCAAGGGTGAGGTCCCTGATGTTCTGATCCCTTGGATCCGCACTGCCCGTCTCCAGCTCCGCGAGCGGTTCCACTCGGACTTTTCTGTCCTGCGTCTGCACTCTGACAGAGGTGGTGAGTTTGCCTCTGACTTTCTGCGAGACTTTTGTCGTGGGGAGGGCATTCTCCAGACGTTCACGCTCCCAGCCTCACCGCAGCAGAATGGGATTGCTGAGCGCCGCATTGGCTTAGTCATGGAGGTCGCTCGTACCTCCATGGTCCATGCGGCTGCCCCCCATTTTCTGTGGCCGTTTGCGGTCCGATACGTTGCGCATCAGCTCAACCTCTAGCCCCGTGTCTCTTTCCCGGAGACCTCGCCCACACTGCGTTGGACGGGGAAGGTTGACGATGCGTCCGTGTTTCGGGTCTGGGGTTCTCGTGCCTTGGTCCGCGATACTACCGCGGACAAGCTCTCCGCCCTTGCTATTCCCTGCGTCTTCCTTGGCTTTGTCCCTGACGCGCCTGGCTGGCAGTTTTACCACCCCACCTCGCACCGTGTCCTGCCCTCTCAGGACGTCACGTTCGACGAGTCTTCCCCTACCGCACTGCCTCTCTTCCCCCCCCACCGCTCTTCCTTGCCCCAGGTCCTCCTCCGGTAGACCCCCTCCCCCCTCATTGTCCTACTCCCTCAAGTGTGTCCCAGGTACATGATGTCGAGCCTGTCGAGGTAGCGGTTGAGTCTGGTGGTGCTGCTGGGGGTGCTGAGCCTGAGCGTGTAGAGCCAAGGGGTGCTGAGCCTGAGCGTGCGGAGCCTGGGGTTGCTGACCCTGAGCGTGTGGAGTCTGTGGGTGCTGAGCCTGGGGTTGCTGAGTCTGGGCGTGCGGAGCCTGGGGGTGCTGAGCCTGAGCGTGTGGAGTCTGGGGGTGCTGAGCCTGGGGTTGCTGGGTCTGGGGGTGCTGAGCCTGGAGGTGCTGAGCCTGAGGGTGCTGAGCCTGTGGTTGCTGAGACTGGGGGTGCTGAGTCTGCTGTAGTTCCTGCAGGTGCCTCGTCTCAGCCGGAGCCTCTCTCTCCACCGCAGCTGCGCGAGTGGTTTGCTCGCCGCTGGAGACTCTAGCGGGGTGCTGCTGGAGCTGGAGCTGCTCGAGGTACTGCTGGTGCCGGAGCTGCTGGTGGAGCTGTAGCTGCTGGGGCCGGAGGTGCTGCCGGAGCTGGAGCTGCTGGAGGTACTGCTGGAGCTGGTGCTGCAGGTGCTGGTGCTGCTGGAGGTGCTGGAGCCACTGAACGGAGGTGCTCGTACTAGAGGTACTGGAGCTGCTGGGGCTGGTGGTGCTGCTTGAGCTGGAGCTACTGGAGGTGCTGGAGCTGGTGGTACTTCGGGAGTTGGAGCTGGAGACCTTGGAGCTGGGGGTACTGGTGCTGCCGGTGCTGGTTCTAGAGGCGCTGCGTTGCCGCGGCCGTACTTCGTTCCACTTCTTCAGCATGTTCTTGGCCTCCCACCTTCTACTAGTCCCACTCTGCCCTTACTGTGTCCACAGCCTGCCCAGTCGCAGTCGCAGCTACAGCCAGCCTCTCCACTGCCTGGTCCTTCTCCTTATTCTGGGCTGACTAGAGGTCTAACGGAGCGTCGTGAGCCATAGTCTCGTCCTGCGTCGCCCGTTCGCGCTGTTCGCACTGGTGGTCGTGTCACGCATCCGCGTCCTCCTCCTGTCCCAGGCACACACCAGATGGCACTTCATCCTTCCACTGCTCCACTACGTGTCCCTTTGCCGTCTCCTCCTGCGTCCTCTCTTGCTAACGGTCCGGACCTGGCGTCTAACTCCCTTCGTGCTGCCAGTCCTACTGTCACGCGTCTCCTGGCCAGTGTGGTCACTGACCCGTCGTTTGAGTCCACTGCTGCGTCTGCCCTAGTTGCTGAGCTTGTTGACTTTGCTGCCGCCTGTCGTCTAGTCTACGCCGCTAGTCTTGTTGCCGAGTCTGAGTCTGTCTGTCCTCCGTCCGTCCGGGGTGAGTGTGCTCTTAGCACGGACGTCCTTGAGGACAGGCAGGAGGAGTTTGAGTGCTTTGCCGCTGCTTTACCTCATCTCGTGTCCATGCTGCTTGCACCTGAGGGAGACCCGGATGCACCAGACATCCCGACCCCGCGCTCTTACGTAGAGGCGATAGAGGGTCCCTAATCCTCTCAGTGGCAGTCAGCCATGGACGCAGAGATGGTTTCCTGGAAGTCCACAGGCACCTACGTCGACGAGGTTCCCCCGCCTGGGGCGAACATCGTCAGTGGCATGTGGATTTTCAGGGTGAAGCGGCCGTTGGGTTCTCCTCCTGTCTTCATGGCGCGTTACGTTGCACCAGGCTTCAGTCAGCGAGAGGGAGTTGACTTCTTCCAGACCTTATCCCCCACCCCAAAGATGACCACTCTTCGGGTTCTGCTGCACGTCGCCGCTCAGCGTGACTACAAGCTGCACTCTCTTGACTTCAGCACTGCTTTCCTACAGGGCAGCCTGCACGAGAAGATCTGGCTGCGCCGCCCACCTGGCTTCACTGGGTCGTTTCCTGCTGGTACCCAGTGGAGCCTCCGGCGGCCAGTCTACGGTCTCCGCCAGGCGCCCTGTCAGTGGCACGTCACACTGAGGACGACCCTTGCGGCTCTTGGCTTTGCTCCTTCCACTACTGACCCGTCGTTGTTTCTACGCACCGACACCTCTCTGCCGCCGTTCTACGTCCTCGTGTACGTCGACAACTTGGTCTTTGCTACTTCTGACACTGAGGGACTCGCCCACGTGAAGTCAGAGCTGCAGAAGAGACACACGTGCACAGACCTGGGTGAGCTGCGCAGCTATCTTGGCTTGCGGATCACCCGGGACAGAGCACAGCGCACCATTACTTTGACTCAGTTACACATGGTGCAGCAGGTCCTTCAGCGCTTCGGCTTCACGTACTCCTCGCCACAGCTCACTCCTCTGCCTACTCGCCACTCGCTCTAAGCTCTGCCTTCGGATGAGTCCGTAGAGCCGAATGGCCTGTATCCAGAGCTTGTGGGCTGCTTCATGTACTTGATGACCTGCACTCGTCCTGACCTTGCTTACCCTCTTAGCATCTTGGCACGCTACGTTGCGCACGGGAGACACCGACCAGAGCACTTGAAGGCAGCTAAGAGGGTGATGCGCTACTTGTGCAGTATGTCGGGCATGGGGCTCGTGCTTGGAGGACGGGCTCGAGTTGTCCTCACTGGTCACGCAGACGCTTCCTGGGGTGACGACTTGGCTATGCAGCGGTCGTCACAGGGTTACACTTTCAGCCTTGGCTCCGGCTCTGTTTTGTGGCGGTCTACCCGCTCGTCTTCTGTTCTCAGCTCCAGTTGTGAGGCTGAGATCTACGCAGGGGCCATGGCTGCACAGGAGTTACGCTGGCTCACCTACCTGCTGACCGACCTGGGAGAGCCGCCTCGTTCTCCTCCAGTTCTGTACGTCGACAACAAGGCCATGATTGCCTTGTGTCAGGAGCACGGACTGGAGCACAAAACGAAGCACTTCGCTCTGCGTTACTTCCGTGCTCGAGAGTTGCAGCAGCGTGGTCAGCTTCGTCTTGCTTACGTGGCCACTCGGGCCAACACTGCTAATGTCTTCACCAAGGCACTTCAGCCTTGTGATCATCAGCTTTTCTGTACTGTTCTAGGCCTTGTGCCCACTGGGCCTCACTTGCTTACTTCTTGACTTTGCTTGTACTGTGATCTTTATACATATACCTGCATGCTTACGCTTGCTAGGTTGTGATCACTGTATTGTTTGTTCGCCTTTATATAACTCTGCATGTGAACTGGCCTTGTGGCCATTTGCTTGTGCTCAGAATGCATGGTGACTTCGTGATCCACCCTGAGCTTGCTTTGCTTCTCTTGACTGGTCTTGTGACCTTTTGTTCTCCCCCACTTTGCCTATGGGGGCGTGTCAAACTTATTTGCTATAGTCTGTGTAGGCTGTAGTGGGGTAGTTCATATGGGGTACAACACTTTAGGGTTTCCTACTTGTACTCCTCATGATGCTCAATGCAATCATTCCTCGTTCTGTTTTCCGCACCAGAGCCGACGAAGCAATAAAAAAAACAAATGTCATCGCAAAACGCAACGCTGACCGCCACCGCCGCCCAGTCACGTACTAGTGAGG